CCCGCGATAAACGAGGGACTTACTTACGGACAACACATTCACAGTCATGTAAAAAAACAAATCAAAACAGTATTGAATAATGGAAGGTAAGCAGTTTGCGGTCCAAGCGGTTAATTCTATGATTCACAGCAAGATATTTACTCATCTGTCTCCACTACTCTGCTTATCCCCACCCGACATGTAAATGATGGAGCAGAGCCTCTGACTTTATGCATCTAATAAGTTGCAACTCTGACATCATTCAAAAACACAACTACTCCTTAATATTAAAACCTAACTCTTAAGGAAAAGACAAACACTTTTTTCTCTTACTCTTACATTAAATAGCATCTCTAACATTTTTATTTGTTGTTGCTGTAGTTGTGTGTTTGGCTATTTCAGCTACATGTACTGACAATAAAATTTGTTAATTTTTTTTAACTGTATTTTGTAGAAACTCACCATACAGGGTCCTAAAGCTAGCAGCGCAAGTCGGAGCAGGCTGGCGACCTGGTAACTGTGCTTGCCAAGCTGCAGGGCGAGCTGCAGACTCTGCCTGTAAGCCATGACAGCCTGAACCAGAAGGCCCTGGCTCCGATACACCTCAGCCAGCCACTACAGAGAAGGCAAGCACAAAGGCAGGACGAGTATTGATAATCAAAAACTGACATGAATTTGGAGATTTCTCAGAGTAAAGAAAGAAAAAAAAAATACAAAATTGTCACTTTATGATAAATGGTAACTGCTTTATTGTTACATTTCTAAACAACATGACCTCAGTATTTAGGCAAAGCTGTGATAATGATTTCAGGCCTTGCTTTGTAAGAAGTTCCATGAGTTTTCAGATTTACCGTCTAAAGATGTGAGTGAAAAGTGTCTTTATAAATTTGAACTGCTCTGTAATTCAAAAAGTGGTGCAGGCTTGATTTAAATGGACGCTACTTTCACTTACATGCCACGCTCCAAGGTTAGCGGAGTTCATCGCTACAGTTTTGTTGAGCTGCTCCAGGACGGGGTCTGGGAGGACAGCACCACCATCAGTCATGAGGAGGCGCTGACACTGAACCTGTCTCAGTGACAGCATCACTGCTGGGTGTTCAGGGGACACATTTAAAACCTGAAAATGTATCAGAGCTTTATTACACTGTTTGTTTCTCTTTCCACTGTGAAATATGTGTGTTTCATATTCCACCTGCATGCAGAGGGCCTCAGCCTGGTCCAGCTGTCCCTGCAGCATGAGACCTGTCACCGCCTGCTGCAACACCCAGCCTTCCAGAGACTGGGCTAGAGGGCGCTCTATCTCTTCCACATTATGCACTAGAAAATAAAAATAGTTCAGACTTAAACACTAAACCAGGGGTCTGCAACCTTCACGATCAAAAGAGCCATTTATGCGCATTTGTTCACTAAATTCAGTGTCTGGAGCCACAACAATCTGGCACAGCTGTGATCATCAACTGGTGGCCTGTGGACCACTTTAAGTTTCTTGGAGGGGGCTTTTCTGGCCAGTAGAGGTAACTTTTTAAAACTAAAAATATCAAATAGTTTTTAACATTTGTACATTTTAAGACAAAAGAAAAGACCAGATTGTTGCAAAGAAAAATACAGATTTTCACAATTTTGTAAATTTTTAAACAATGAACTACGCAGGCCTATGATTTTATTTTGTATTGTGGAAAAATTAAGTATCCTACTTTTCAGAGATAAAGCATAAAGTGGGTATGCATTACTCTTTGTCTTGTTCTACTATTTAAATGTTTGCAATAAAATAAAAAAATGTCAGGACGACTGTTAAAACAAACCTTTTTTATTTTAGTAGAACAACCAATAAAATTCAGTTTTATGTTAGTTTTGCTCAAAGCTTGAAAGAGCCGCTGTAGATGGACCAAAGAGCCACTTGTGGCTCCAGAGCTGCAGATTGCAGACCCCTGCACTAGACAGACAGGAAACAACACACACACACACTAAAAGGAGAAAAGTGAACCCACCTTTGTCAGAAACCACCGCCATGAGTGTACGCTCGAGTGACTGTCTGCGAGGAGCAGACCCAGAAAGATAACAGGAAGTGTTTTCAGTGTGACAGGCGGCCATTAATCCTGCCCATGTTGCTGGATCATCTGACGCGAGACAATCAGGTAGTTTTTTTTAGTTACAACTGTGCTTACAAGTATTGTTTTAAAGCAAGAGTTAGATTGCAATCTTCAGATATCAATGCTAGCTAATGTCATCATTTTCTGTTTAGTCTACCAGGACAGAGTAGTACGGCTCTCTGCATCGTCTTCAGGGCATTCCTCCGAGTGTCCTCTCCTGAGTGTCTCCCACTGGCCAGCTGGTTGACTCCGCTGTACAACAGCGCCCTCTGCAGTCACACAGACACAACAACATGCAGCATATTTCAGCTTCCAAAATATCTACAACTTATTTTTACTAAGTGCTTTTGACCTCACATTATAGGTTTAGGTAGAGCAAAAGTAATGAGAAAATGACATTAAATAAAAATCAAACAATAGGTTAAGAAAACGATACATTTACAAAAATAAATAAATTACATGGCTTTTACCTTTCCTTGGGTCATACTAGCAAGACAGGCAACATGACCTGCAACAGCACCACCCTATTACATACAGAAACAAAAAATACATTTCAAATACCTTTAACTGTCTCATAATGGATAAAAAATAATAATTATAAGCCTATACGTCAATATAAGTATATAATAAGTGGGACTGCTTAGTTACATGGATGTCAAAACACCATCTTTTCTGGGCTTGCGTTCAAGTTATTTGAACAGACTTACATTTGCCTTTCTAGGGTAGTACTGCGGTATCACTCTGGACAAAAGAGCCCAGAGAGATGGGTTTCCAGGATTCCTGTAAAACATATAGAAAAATTAGAGATGCTGTAAACAAAAGCTTTACATATCTGATATGTTGATCCAACTTAAAGATGCCATTGTTGAAAATTTAAAGGAGTGGAACAGAATCTCATACCTGCTTTTATTGGACCTTGATTTATGGTTGCCATTCATTGAAGCACAAATGTGCACAACACCAGCACAACCATTGGGTCATATCATTAATATTTAAACAGAATGTAGTTTGTAGTGTGAATGAGATGGATTTTTCCAGCAATAAACTTAATTTAGTGTTCCAACACAAGTTTGGATTTGTAGAAGCATATAAATATTTACTTAACTCATCCAATATAAATAAAAGCTAATAAATATTCTAACGTATAAAACTATATCCTATCATTTGCTTTATGAATTATAAATTTGTATGTTGTAATGTGATTTATTTTTTCCCTGTCAAGTGTTGTTTGATTAATAAATGCTTGTTTTAAAGTAGAACTGGGTTGCCATGAGGACGAGTGCATCAGTAGTACCTGTGCACAGCTCTGGAGGCTTCTCTTTGGACTGCGCTGTAATTGCCCTGAAGGGCCAGTAAGGAGCAGGTGAGCAGGCACTGCTGCTTCACAACACTCCCTGAAGCCGAACCTTGTTTTAGCAGCTCGGTCAGGGCGGCAGCAGCTAGCGTCGCATCACGGTGGACCAATCCCAAGGCGCATAAACACAGCAGAGACTCCGAGATTGGCTCCTTTAGCAACGAGCTATAAACACAGAGATCAGAAAGATTTATACGTGAATGATATTAATACAAAGAAAACAAGAATTTTCATTTACTTTTAAAAGAGTTCTTTGTGGCAATTGTGTTTTTGTGAAGCTTTGGCATGCCAGACTTGACAGTTTTCTGCCAAACAAGACTTTTTTAAATGCAAACATAATAATCTGTGAAAAGTAACTGCAGGACAAGAAAAGCACACAAAGCTGCTCTTGTCGAGTGGACTTACCATTTAAAGAGCAGAGTCTTGGCTAAATCGAGGTTGCCTTGCCTGTGCTGCAGCATCGCCAGAGCAGTCAATATGGAAGCTTTATCCTTCTCACTGGAAGCTACAGCCAAGGCCCGTTCATAGGCTACAGCAAACACAGAATACAATCCGCTCAGTGTGGCATGAAAACCATGTACAGTGTTTTCTGTGTATATGCCACTTCTTACTGCTGATGCTTTCAGGGAAGAGTCCTGCCCTGCAGTAGGTCAGAGCCAGCCCGACCAGGTCACTGAGGTCCTGCAGAGGAGTGGAGTTATATACCTGTACTGCCTCCTCCCACTGGCCTGAGTAACTGTAAAAAAACACAATTGTGCATACAAGTAATGGTCAAAACATACGGTGAGTATATGAGAAATAACTCAAATGCATCAGAAGAGAAAGTTACCATAAAGCCCGAGCATAGCTGCCCAGAGTAAAAGCCAGCTCTTCTGAAGAAGACATAGACTGAAGCAGCTCAACTGCTCTGAGAGGAGGATTAGAAAAAAAAACTAATTGAAAAGAATGTGTAAAATACATTTTTTAAACAAATTAAATTTATACCATATTTTCCGTCATGAATGTTGCTCTGCCCTATAAGTCGCGTCAGTCCAAATATGTCTAATAAAGTGGAAAAATCCATAAATATGTCGCTTCACCGTATACGTCGCATCTATTATGCGTCACCGCTGACAACCCAGAAATGTGGGCCGGTGTTGTGCCAAAAATCGATTGGCTGCCAAAGGTTGGCCGCGGGAGTGTGCACGGGAGGACTTTAACAAGAATTTAACAAGATTAACACTTAAAAATAATTATTTGTTTGCTCGAAATTATAGCAAAGGTGTATCTCAGTCTAACTTTTGCTTAATAAATGCACTTTAATGGTCAAATTAGCTGCATTTCGCTGGGGCGGTGCGGCGAAATGAAGCTGATTTGACGATTGCTCCGAGCGAGCTGGACAAATGCGGCATGCTATACTCCTCTGGTGCCATCTAGCGGCTGAAAAATGGTAGTGTTCTATATTTTCAGTCAGAATGAATGAAAACAGTCATATCTCAGCCAAAAATTGGTTATAAATATGGGGAAAAAAATCCATAAATACGTCGCTTCAGCGTATAAGTCGAAGGGCATGCAAATTGTGCAACAACAAAAAAAAACTGACTTATACAGCGCAAAATACGGTAATTTAAATATTTGTTGATACACTTTTTTGAGACAGTGAAGTCAGTTAGTGTGGTTTGTACCGCTGGTACGCCTGTAAGGCCTGCGTCTTCAGCTGCAGATGTTCATTCAGGTATCCCAGCATGATGAAGGCATCAGGGTCAGTCTGGATTCTCTCTGGTAGTAAAAGAAAGTTTGCATGATCCGTCTGACCCAACTCATCTCTGGTCCTGTGTTAACATAAGCACACTAATAAACGGTGTACCTGTGTACTTGCTGAGTGCCACCTGAGCAGCAGAGATTGCATTCATTTGTACTATATTGTAGCGGTACAGCTCAGTGTCTCTGTTACTCTTATCCAGCAGGGTGGAACAAACCCAGAAGGCGTAACCTTTCACACCCTCCATCTGTGACGGCGAAAACATTTGGTGACAACAGAGGAGGAGACAAGAAATACAGAGCATAAAATTATTTAGAAAACAAGATGAGGTTCAAGATTATAATATTACAAAATCCCTTTAAAGACAGATGCAAAAAGCTTTAAGCTGAAAATTGTGTGCGGTAAAAAAAAAGGTGAAGCACAGATTGTCATCCAGTTAATTGTTGGGTGTTGAGGTAGCAGTGGGGATGTCACATACATGTGTGCTGAGCTCAGTAGTGTGCCTGAAAAGATCCATAGTGTCATAGCTTCCCACACGTTCTGCTACCAGCGCCTGGTAGGATGACAGAAACGTTATAATTAACAGAGGGAAAGACGGAGGTAGAAAAAGAAACCTTACCAACACTAAACATTAATGTCACATCGCTTGCTATTAAACTAGTATCAACTGAAATATAAAAACAGACTTAATTATTACTTCCTAGTGAGCGGTTTGAAGTTAGTTGTGCGTGCACACAGCATGTCTTATGCTGTATGTGGATATTTCCTTATAACAGCAGTAATGTGTCTGGTATAACATTGTCTTCTGATGTCCTTACAAAGTACCTGTCCAATCCAACAGTTGACATAAAGTGGCTCCAAGGACTGAGCAACTTTGAAGGCCTCATGTGCAAGCTAAGAGAAGAAATACAAACATTTATTTTGTGAAAATATGAACCTTAAACATGAACATTAAAAGAGTAACCACATAAAGAGTGTGATTATACACACCTCTATATTGTCCTTCTTCAAATACAGGCTTCCAAGGTTTGTCCATGCAACTACATTCTGTGTAGAAATATATAAAAAAAAAAACTTCTGATATTTTCTTAAAATATTATTATTCTGATGTGCAAATGTGCAAAACATACATTTGGCTCTACTTGTATGGACTTTATGAAGCAATGCTGAGCCAGAGCAAAGTTCTCCAGACCTGATGTGACGAGACAGAATAATTGTATTTCTATTACAAAGACCAAGAAAAACAACCTAATCTACTATTTTAACCAAAAAATAATAAAGTCAAGGACAAGGTGAATCTGTAACAAAATCTTTGTTTCTTCTGAAAATATATTTGCACTATTTTTTAATACATGTTGTTACCTTTGTTCGTGGAGATCACTCCCAAGGCATTCCAGTAGCCGTGGTTCTCACTGTCCATCTTAATAGCCTTTTTTAAACACTGGACAAAAAAAAAAAAAAAAAAACACACACACAATATAATCTCTATTCCAGCCAACAATCAGGAAAACTGTTTTGTCCGATTCTTTGATCTACCTGCTGAGCTTTCTCTAAGTTCAGAGGCTGGGAGTCCTGTTCTCTCTCTGTAAGACAGGGCAGGCTGCTGGCCTGATGGTAATAGTTGAGGCCTAAATCGTGCCAAAGACTGGCAACCTCAGGCTTCAACTTCAAAGCATGAGCGTAGCACCTGTGACACAACCATACGCATTCACTGTCGTCATCTGTATGGAAGCGGTGTACAAGAACACGACGTGAAAATAATCCTGGTCGTACCTCTCACCAACTTTGAGCATCTCAGCCTGGTTAAGTATGTGATCTTGCGTGCTGGGATTTAAACCAGCCAACAAGGCTGGCACCAGAACTTCAGCCCTGTTCGGTGAAACAGTGGTGACAGCAGTGCACGCATCTCCCAGGAGTTTCCACAAGCAAGACAGGTCTGGTCGCAGCTTCGCAGCTCTGATGAGCACAGAAACGTGAACATAAGTAGAATCCAGTAACAAGAATAATGTAACACAATTTATTCAAGTCAAAACAGAAACATTATTTGCCTGAAGAGGTTTTGTATGGCTAACTGAATGAGGTCAACAGCTCCTCCATCTCTGCAGTCCCCCATTAAACTTTTTGCCAGAGACAACTGACACTCCCCAAGTCCTAAACAACAGAGCATACGAGCCAGAATAAACCTCCAAGTCTGAATAAATAAACAGTCTAATAGGTGTGTCAATGAAGTTATTAAATGTGGTGCATTTCAAAGCTGCTACCTTTAAGAGCAGGAACGTAATCCTGCTTGGTTGTGATTTGGAGGTACTCTGCCGCTGCCTCTTTGAACTTGCCCAGAGTCTGTTTGATAGCAGCGGCCTGGTAGACGCTGTAGATGGAGCTGGGCTGAAGCTGATGGGCCTTACCAAATGCCTTCAGAGCTGCTGTGAAGCTCCGCCGGTTTAAGTAAGCCTCACCTAAACATTCCCAGCACACCCAGTCCTCAGGGTCTGCTCTCAAAGCTGCCTGCAAACTACAACAAATATGCAAAGGATCAACAATAATCTCTCACTTACAAATGGTAACACATGTTATCAATTCAATTTGTAAATTAATTTCAAATTCTTACTCAGCTATGGCCTTTTGATGTTCTCCGACCTTCAGGTAGTACAGGCCTCGTCTCATCCAGGCCCACTTAGCTGAGCCTGGAGTAGCTTTCTCGATCACTGACAGAAGTATCACTAAAGCGTTGTCCTGTGGTGTTTAGGGAAGATGAAAGCAGGTACAAAAATAAAAACACAAAGAAACAAAAAGAGGCTTTAACACTACACAAGCACAAAGCAAAGAACACAACTAATTTTCTGAAAATTGTGTTATTTCCTCTCACCATATCCCCCTGTCCCATACTGAGATCTACAGCAGCAGCTCCAGACTCAGCATCATCGCTGTTCAGCTGAAAAGCCTTCTTGTAGCAGCCTTGTGCACGACCGTTATCATTTGCCACCTCGCGGTAATAATGCCCCAGGTAGCGAAAAGCACAGCCCAGGTTTGGATCCAACTTTGCAGCCTGAAAATGATCAAAAGAAGCTCGAACTTACAGAGCACATTGCTTTAAGACCAAAGACACGGTGAGGTTTCCTCGAGTACAAGACTTTTATACAATGAACTATGAACGCTTCAGAGCTTAAGGGGGGTGCTTTTCACATCAAAACAGACGCCGTAGAGACAATCAATAATGAAACAAAACCTTAATAACTACGAAACTAACCTTTAATAGGTGCGTGTGTGCTTTGCTTCGATCTTTCCGGGTCTCCGCCTCCATGTCCCAGTAGAGTTTTCCAAGCAGGAAATAATATTCTCCGCTGTCTGGGCTCTGACTAGCAGCTTTTAGGAAACTAAACAACAAAAGTACAAGAGGGGGGAAAAAATGTTTCCAAGTTTTTGCTGAACAATTAAGACTGTTTAGTTCAAGAGAGCAAAATGTCATAAAAAGGGCACAGGAAATGTGTTTTTGTTTCTACCTCTGCTCTGCCAGCTGCAGCTGACCTTCAGCTAAATGCAGCCGTCCTCTTAATGCTGATCCCTGGGCCAGGTTTGAATTTGAGGCCTCAAGCTCTGACAACAGCTATTAAAAACACAATTTAATTGGCACCACAATATCTCTGACTGATCCAAATTGACCTCACACTGTCATTTAAAACATCTGACGGATGTGCTTCATATATAAAAACAAATGAATGCAGTACAAAAGATTTCAACCTTGAGGGTTTGATCAAGCTGTCCTTTGTTAAGAAACGAATGTCCTTTAAAGACTAATAGCACAGGGTCTTTCTCAGCTTCAGGAATCTAAAACAAAGAACAAAAAGCACAACATTTTCATTTTATTTAGTGATACTGAGCTACACTGCAAATCAACAGAAGTATTTCTATGTTTACACCAAAATATATTTATATTAAATACAAAATCAACAGTTAACGGCAATATTACTTCAAGTGCTCTCTTGTTTTATTAATTCAGTTGACAATAAAGACATGCAGAATGATTTTGTCATGTTTTAAGAAAAGTGGATCAAGTTGATGTCTTCAAGTTTTAACAAACCGATTCAAATGAGATGCCATTTGCAAAAACGACATGTTTTTTTTTAAGTCTCACACTGTTTTTAGTGAAGAGAACAACTTTAATATAATCTACCCATACAATACTGATAAAAACAGAACATTTATCAATCACCTGTGAAAAAGTCTCAATAGCCTCATCAGCAGCCCTCTCTCCTCCGCTTCTCACTAAAGCCTCCAGCTTCAGTCTCAGCAGTTTGTCCTTCAGCTTTATGTCTTCAGATGTACAAACATCCAGTCCTAACACAAACAAATCTTTGAGACAAACACTACAACTGTCCGTAAAGACATTTGTCCCTTCATAAACTTTGACGGTGTTTAAGTCTTTTTACATTCAACTGGAAATATTCTCCTGGAAGAGGGATTCGTGTTGACCCCTGACAGGTAAAGTAACAGTGTAATAATTAGCGAGGAGACCCTGCATCTTGATTTTTACAAGAACAAAAAAGACATCGTCTTTGGCAGTTTTGCAGCAAAATCACACTCCTATAATTTGGACAGACTTTTTACATAATCTGTTGATCAGCGTAAATTAAATCCAGTAAAACACACCTTGTGAGCAGGATGTAGCACTATCAGAGTATCTGTGTAATTTCATCTGAGCCTCAGCCAGATTGTACCATCCTGTTGATAAGCTCCTTTTCTTTAGCCCTGAGATTCAGAACAGATTAACATCAACAACAAATATGAACAATCACAGACGACATTAAGTCAGTACATGGTGTTTAGATGTGTTTTGCACAAACAGCAGACTGTATGATTTGTTACGGTGAAAACTAGCCTTGCTCCAGGTCGTCAATGGCTTCTTTATACCTCCCTTCCAGAAGGGCTTTGGTACCCCGGCCCAAGCGACCAAGCCCACTGTTGGGAGCCACTTCCAAAAGACGGGTAAAACAACTTACTGCATCCTCATCCATGTTATCTTCAAAGGAAAATATACAATTGAATAAAAGTGAATGAGTATTTCATAAGCATGTTTCCTGCAGGTATAGGTTTAGTATTCAAAATGTTAATTCTCACAATATGCCACAGTTTTTAAAAAGAAATATGCTAATTAGTTTGTATTCGTGGTTCTTTTCCAGGTTGGGCTGGTTAGAAATGAGAACACTGTGAATGTGACACTGAATATGACAATAGAAGTGTTAGAAGACACAAGTCACAAATCAGTGTGGAACTTTTATCTGTGATGATTTAATCACATTAATATGACATCTGCTCTGCCATTGTTTCTTTTATATTATGTACAATGTTTGCAGAGCATTTCTTTCATACAAACACCTAAAATCCCACATTTGTTTTAGCTTTAAGACTGAAATATGCTAGATAGTACTACTTTTAAACCCAGAACGTAGTGTTTATAAACTCTTACTTGAATTTCCATGTTTGCATTGTTGTACAATATATGGGTGACTGCATTTGTTATAATGCTTGTTTTGCCTCAGATAGTATAAATATTGAAGTTTTGGGGGGTTAGCTGGGTTTAGTTAGTATTTCTATGTTGTGTAAAAGCATGAATGATGGGAACACAAATTCAAAAGGAAGGGTGTGATTGAATAAGTTATTCCACCTTCATATACAAACCGGATTCCAAAAAAGTTGGGACACTAAACAAATTGTGAATAAAAACTGAATGCAATGATGTGGAGGTGCCAACATCTAATATTTTATTCAGAATAGAACACAAATCACAGATCAAAAGTTTAAACTGAGAGAATGTATCATTTTAAGGGAAAAATCTGTTGTTTCCAAATTTCATGGCGTCAACAAATCCCAAAAAAGTTGGGACAAGTCCATTTTTACCACTGTGTGGCATCCCCCCTTCTTCTTACAACACTCAACAGACGTCTGGGGACAGAGGAGACCAGTTTCTCAAGTTTAGAAATAGGAATGCTCTCCCATTCATGTCTAATACAGGCCTCTAACTGTTCAATCGTCTCGGGCCTTCTTTGTCGCACCTTCCTCTTTATGATGCGCCAAATGTTCTCTATAGGTGAAAGATCTGGACTGCAGGCTGGCCATTTCAGTACCCGGATCCTTCTCCTACGTAGCCATGATGTTGTGATTGCTGCAGAATGTGGTCTGGCATTATCGTGTTGAAAAATGCAGGGTCTTCCCTGAAAGAGATGACGTCTAGATGGGAGCATATGCTGTTCTAGAACCTGAACATAGTTCTCTGCATTAATGGTGCCTTTCCAGACATGCAAGCTGCCCATGCCACAAGCGCTCATGCAACCCCATACCATCAGTGATGCAGGCTTCTGAACGGAGCGTTGATAACAACTTGGGCTATCCTTGTCCTCTCTGGTCCGGATGACATGGCGTCCCAGTGTTCCATAAAGAACTTCAAATCGTGACTCATCTGACCACAGAACAGTCTTCCATTTTGCCACACTCCATTTTAAATGACCCCTGGCCCAGTGCAAACGTCTGAGCTTGTGGAGCTTGCTTAGAAATGACTTCCTCTTTGCACTGTAGAGTTTCAGCTGGCAACGGCAGATGGCACGGTGGATTGTGTTCACTGACAATGCTTTCTGGAAGTATTCCTAAGCCCATTCTGTTATTTCCTTGACAGTGACATTCCTGTTTGAGGCGCAGTGATGTTTAAGGGCCCGGAGATCACGAGCATCCAGTAGAGTTTTACGGCCTTGACCCTTACGCACAGAGATTGTTCCAGATTCTCTGAATCTTTTGATGATGTTATGCACGGTTGATGATGATAACTTAAAAGTCTTTGCTATTTTATGCTGGGTAACACCATTCTGGTATTGCTGCACTATCTTTCTGCGCAACAATGGTGGAATTGGTGATCCTCTTACCATCTTGGCTTCTGAGAGACACTGACACTCTGAGAAGCTCTTTTTATACCCAGTCATGTTGTCAATTGACCTAATTAGTGTTAATTGGTCTTCCAGCTGTTCGTCATATGCTCAATTTCCTTTTTCCAGCCACTTATTGCTACTTGTCCCAACTTTTTTGGGATTTGTTGACACAGTGAAATTTTGAATGAACACATTTTTCCTTTAAAATGTTACATTTACTCAGATTAAACTTTGATCTGTCATCTATGTTATATTACGAATAAAATATTGACATTTGCCATCTCCACATCATTGCATTCATTTTTTATTTACAATTTGTTTAGTGTCCCAACTTTTTTGGAATCCGGTTTGTACAAAGCATTATCTAATGTGTTTTTGCAATTTAACAGCGTCTTACTTGTTTTGATGTAGTGATGGCAAAGAGCCTTAAGGGGATAAGTTTGGTTTGGGTAGAGTGATATCATGGACTGACATGCTTCTTTCATTTTGGCTTCTTCGTGTGGCAGCTGCAGTAGGAGCACATCATAACAAACAAGTCATTTATCAAAGAACTTTCAACAAATAATGAGGTGATCTATTTTGTTGAACGTGGAAAGAGAAGAGCTTTACATGTATAGGATGATGAAACGGGTTTAGCAGTGAAAATAAAACTTACTTTAGAGAGATAGTTAACATAACCAGCTGAGAGCTTCTTGTGCTCCTCTCCAGGTACAGGCTCCATGAGAATCATGGCTTTCTCAAAAGCTGTGATTAACTGAGGATCACAACAGAAATCCAAAAAAGCAACATGTTCTTTGTCAGTAGGGAAACCCCAAAAAAAAAGAAATTCCACAAAATAACTCATTTTTGCTATAATTTCTAATGTTTACAGTAAATTAGATTAAAAATTAAGGATTTGTATGCATTGAACATAAAAGAAACAAAGTATTGAAAACTGTTGAGGAAATCTTACATGTTGCTGAGTTTCATTGTCTTGCTCCTCCTCATTAATGCACTCTGAAAGAAGCTCAATCATTTTATGCAATAGCTGCACTAATTCTTTCTTATCCACGCCCTCTTCCTCCTTCAGCTGAACAAGCTGCAGCCAAACCTTTGCCAACTGTGCACAAACACATGCAAACAAAAAATAAATACATGAGAAAAAGCTTTCATTCTTTTATATTTTAATCTTGCATGTTTAGTTTTAAACTTACAAACCTTCAAATATTCCCTGTCAGACTGATAAATATCCGACAGCTTTTTGACCACTTCATAACATTTGTTTTTATCGGACCTGTGGAAAAAATGTAAAAAAAAACAAAACACAGCAATTCATTGATAACGAAAACAGCTGGAATTACAAAACTCCTTTCATCCCTTACCAAGCAGCCACACACACATTAACAGTCTGTGGAAAGTTTAATGTAGTCTGGTAAATAAGATCTTACCTTGCATACAGCTCAACTAGTTTCTGGTAGGCGTTAGGCAGCTCAACTTTAAAATCCCACTGGTCCGTCTTTTCATAAAGATTTGCTAAGCCCTGCAAAAAAATGTAAACGTGAAGCAAGTACTAAACAGAAGATAAAGATGTATCAATATTAAAGATTGCCCTGCAAATAATGCATCTTTATTTTTACAGGTAAACACAATAAGACAGTCTTGCCCTCAAGAAGACATTTTCTTAAGTTGCAAATGGGCATAATTTGATTGATCCCATTACTATGCAGCTACATTTTTACCAAAATTGCATACAACATTCAAGGGTGATTTAGGATCCCTACAAAGACCAGAACCATACCTGCCAGGCCAGCAGCTGCCCTGGCTCCAGCTCCACTGCTTTTTTATAGGCTGCCTGGGACTGATCTGGCTGCTCCAGCTCACTGGCTGCCAGGCCAATGAAAACCCATGCATTGTAATTGTTCTTGTCAAGTTTCAGAACAGCCTGAAATCACATTGAAAGAGTGAAGAATTAGCTACCAGACCATCTTCCTCCCAGTAAACAAATACACACCAGGAGACATTACTGACTCCTTACCTTGCAGTGCTTCAAAGCCTCCTTGAATTCCTTGTTTTTGATGGCCTCCTTGGCACTTTTCAGTGCGGCTTTCACTTCTTTATTAGACATCTTTTTAACAGGACAAAGAAGATATTTAAAGGAAAAGATGTGACACTGTGAAGTAATTCCAATCAGTCAGTCACCGACTAGTCTTTTCTACATCACTCCCATTCAACTCACTGTTGATTTGAATCAAGTCTGACCCTACTAGATGAAAGTTTTCTAATGAATTAAAACTGTTTCTGTTTTTGTACCTTCAAATCCACTCTGTACAGGTTATTTACCAAACTTAAAAAGTGAGGCAGATCAGCTAGTAAATCAGTACAATTAGCATTAGCATGCATGTTACGCAGAATCAATACTTAAAAACTGGTGAAAATTATTATTTTATAAAATACGCCATTTTTTTTTCAACAGCGCCGAGAAAGCTGTAATTACTGTAGATTTTTTTTAAAAATGCATGTAACAGTGGGAATTACTTACTGTTTATGTTTTTCAATTGTACTGCACTTCCCGGAGGAAGCGGAAGTAAACGAGTGCCACGCCGCTGTATTTTCAAAATAAAACAACTTCCGGTCCCTTTACAGCTCCATAGTAAAAAAAAAATAATAATAATAATTTGAAAAAAAATTGTATTAGTTTTACAAAATATGAGTAGAATAGGAGAAGTCTGTAATATTTCACACATTTTAACACAATTACAGAGTTTACCACACATAATGATATGTAACTTGTCTGTGCTGTTGATTATTTATGCTGCTGATCTCTTATGCAGCTGTTTTCATATCCATCTAATCACTACAGACTCATGTTTGGGCTGCTGTTATACCGTATTATTTTACATTATTAGTGTTTAGTGTATATCTTAAATCTTTTGGCATATTGTTTAGCGTATATTAGATCCTTATGTAACCAATACTGTTTTTTATATTTTTGGGTGTAACCGGGACCTTGAGTACACTATTTCGTTCCATCTCATGTTCCACATGTGAAGTGAATGACAATAAAGAAAATTGAGCATATATTTGTGTATGTAAGGAGATAGCTTAGGGTTGTGCTACAAATTCTTGCTTTATTATACATTGATAACTGCAGAGATTGCCACAATTACCAGGCCTATGATGTTCTACTTTTGATTAAATCAAGACTTCTATTAAGACCAATGTAGATTATTTCAAGCGAGAATAAAAATTATTTTAGTTAATATTTTTTAAGTTTGTAATGTATTGCATTTCAAGCTTTTGTTAAAAAGTAACATAAGAAAATGACAGTTTTGTTGTAAAATAAACGCCTCATTGCAAATGAGTGTTTGCATGTTGTTTAATAAAGATTCAGTTTAGCAGTTTTTGATTTAAGTACACTACATTTCATACTGACCCAATAATCCACATGCATGTGCACACACACCTATAGATTAGCAGATTGCCTGCCACAATGTGTTTAAGTGTTAAGACATTTTGACTTGGGGTTTGGGAAGCTGGAAACATCCCGACAATCTTTGGATATGACGAAAACGGCTCGTTCTCCTGAGTCGCTCAAAAAAAGCATAAGAATTTATCTCATTACATGTTTCACATACTAATTTCATGTCAGGGAAGACTCTTGAAAATGAGTCCTCTGACTCATTGAGACTAGCCTGTATAAATAAAGGTTGAATGAATGAGTAAAAAGACAGTCATGAGAAAGCCCTATCTGGAAGTTCATGCTGAAAAGTTTGTACAGATCAGGAAAAACGTCAAACATTTGACCAACTTGTGAGTATAAAAACATTATAAAATGTGCAAATCTCAAAATGGTTATTGGTAACCGTCTAACCTGTTAGATTAAAAAAAACAAAACAGTTTAATCATTCCAGCTAATTAGAATGAACAAGTCAAAGTGAACATCCTTAAATCAAACTCTAAAATGTTGCTGAGGAGTTACTCAGCCACTCGTCAATGGCTCTCTCGTTGGCAAATACATCCTTCTGCCAATCCATGTGCCACCTGAGGTTAGCAATGACCTGGCTATAGTTTCTCCCCAAACTGTCCCTCCACGCAGTAAATGCTTCTTTATTGTAGAGATGAACGGCTTTGGACACTTCTGGGTAGTCTACGATGCTGCGCAACAGCTTGTCCAGATGAGCCTGCACATGTGGGAATTTGTGAACCACGTTGTAAAGTTCATCCTCGTCCCGTGTAATGTCTAAAATGGAGGAACAGAGAACAGGCATGAAATCTTTATTATGTCAGCTTCACAAAAACGCATGTAGGAAAAGTGTTTGTAGCTTAACGCACTAAAAAGTTGTGGGGGAATACTGAGTCCATCTGCATAGGCAATATATTTCCAGTGGCCAACTCGAAGCATATATGTCGAGGCATTTGCATTGCAGCCGTGATATTCACTCAGCACCCAGTCAGAATGTGGCCTCTTGGACAAATCACTGGACGTGGAGATCAGAGGCAGGAGGGAATGACCGCTTAGCTCACCTGGAGCTGAAATACCAGCAAGCTCTGCAAAACAAAGAAAGAAAGACGTGACGAGTGGCGGAGTCACTCCTCTACAACATTTTAGAGCTCGCTTGGTATCGTCATCGTTGAATATTTCTACACAACGGCAAAGTTTGTGCTCTGCATTTAACCCATCGCATGGAGATACACCCAGGTGGAGCAGCGGGCAGCTATGTTTTTTCATTCATTCAACCTTTATTTATACAGGTCAGTCTCTATGAGACACGATGACTCATTTACAAGAGAGATTTGTTCAAAACAAACAACATATAAAGTACAGACAACAATAAACTACAGTAAAAATGCAACTACGATAAAAGTAGTGTTATAAAACAATAAATCAAGGTGCCATAAGACAAATGAGCGTCCGGGGAGCATTTAGGGATTGGGTGTCTTTTTATTATTAACAATCTTTATTTAATCAGGCAAATCCCAGTGAGATCATTGCAAGGGAGGCCTGGGCCTGAAAACAGTCTAACATGCATGTTTTTGTCTGTGTGAGGAAACCGGAGTACCCGGAGAAAACGCACGCAAGCACGAGAAGAACATGCAAACTCCGCACAGAAAGACCCCAGGTCCAACCGGGGATTGAACTCAGGACCTTCTTGCTGTGAGGCAACAGTGCTAACCACTGAGCCATTGTCCTGTCTTGCTAAAGGACACCACAGCATGTGGGCATGGCGGGGAGTTGAACCTGTAACTTTCTGGTCCCAAGTCAGCTGCCCTACCACTGCACCACAGGCCCTCCGTAAAACTTTATTTCCTAGGTCATGTTAGCCAACATGTACCGGTATACACAGCTTTTTCCTTCTTCTTCTACTTCTTTCAGCTGCTCCCTTCTTCAGGGGTCGCCACAGTGAACTAACTCGCACGAAGACTTAGCAATTGTTTTTACGCCGGATGTCCTTCCTGACGCAACCACAGACCAGTGAGCTACCACAGCCCTCTGTGTGGAGCAGAGAGCTGCTGTCTAAGGTGCTCGGGGGAGTTAAGGGCCTTGCTCAGGGGTCCAGTGTGGGGCAAATGAGGGTGGAGGCAGCAGTGAGTGAATCACCTTCCCCACCCATATTTTGATGTTGTCGGTTCAGGGAGTCGAACCGGCAACCATCCAGTCACAGGCCCACCTTCTCTAACTTCTGCACCACCACTTTGGTAACAGCTTCTGTTTTAAAAGCGCTTTATAAACAAAGTTGACTTGACTTCCTCAAGCTTTTTTTTTTTTTTTTTTTTAAAACACAGTTTTCCTTACCCAGTACAGTGGGATAGAGATCAACCAGGGACACGAGGTGGTCGACCTGCAGGCCAGACGTCAGCCCGGGCCCCATGATGAGCAGGGGGACACGGGAACTGCCTTCAAACATTGACATCTTGTAGAACTGCCGGTGCTCCATGGCGAGCTCTCCGTGGTCAGCGGTAAAAACCAGGACAGTGTTGTTAAGCAGGCCAGTCTCTCTCAGAGCTGAAACCACCTGACCTGGTGAGGCAGGAACAGAGACGTTGAGAACAGGATGATAAGCGTAACCTCAACTTTAACAGTTTGAGAGTACACAGGAAATAGATATTAAGTAACGTTCAAGTAATGACAGTGGGAAATGTATCGTCACTCGCTCACTTTAAAGTGAATTTTTCATCCTGCTGTAAGGCAAAAGCTGCAGAAAGCCTGTTTTTTTTTTAACTGATACCTAATTAGTGTCACATTTAAATACATTTTGCTCGTTTGTGTTATTAATTATGACGTTATTATAAACGTAAAACCTTTTTATTTTTCATTTGATCATCATCAAATGATCTAATGTACTCTCCCAAGACTGTTCAAATGACTGGCAACATAAACTAATGAAAGTTTTATTATAAACAATATTTGCTATACCTGAATAAGAATTGGGAAACCTTACTTTGTTGATTTGTTTGGGAATTTTTGTGTTTTACAGAAATTGACACACATAGTTGAGATCTTGCAAAATGCTGTTTTTTTTAAATAATGGTTAATTTTTAATGCTGTCGTGGTGAATCATAGCAAAAGCTGCTGTTATCTTTTTCTCTTAAGTGGATATCTTACTAAGTCAACTGAGTCTTCAAATCCCACCATCCTCTTGCAGTAAACTAACCCAGCATGGCATCAGCTTCAGCGCACATGGCGTAATAGAAAGTTCGGATGCTTTTGACCTCCTCCTCGGTGAAAGCACCGCTGCAGTTTTTGGTGAAGGTGGAGTAGAAGTCAACCGGGTGCATGGCAGACAGAGGCAGCCATTTAGGAACAGAGACGAGCTCAGAAGACACCTACATGTATGGGAAAACAGACAGCAGTGATTTAGTAACCTGCTCAAGGTCATTCTGGTTAAGCGTGCAAAATAAATTAAAAAGGTATACCTTTGAGAGCCAGTACGGTGAGCTGCGGAAGGTGGAACCTCCAGCTGTCAACCCGAGAGACTTGGTCCGGTAGGGGTGAGGCAAATTGAGGCCGAGGTAAAAAGCAAAGGGCTCGTGCAAAACTGCGCCCATCTGGCGGATCCACTGCGCTGCTTCGTCTGTGTTTTTCCAATCTTCTGTGGAAATTCTTACAGTCGACATGTTCCCGACGAGCTCGGAAACGGGCCGGCCCTCTTGGCGTAGGAGGAACTGAACATCTCGTGTCCACGCTTCAACACGATTACTTCAGCGGATCCCAAAAAAAATAAATAAACCAAATAAACACGTAAGGACCAAAGACGCTCAAACACACAGTTCATTCATGCTGAATACTGTAACACCAACAGTTTGTTTCAGGACGTGGGTGTATATGTTAAATGAACGCAAAATGAAAAAGATCTGAGATAAAGACTCAGTCGTACAGACCTACTGACCTAAGAGAGTGACCCCCTGAAGTATAATCCACCTTGCCCATTATCTTGGTGTGATATCCGTTCCTCCCCAGCAAATCCATCCATGTGGTCACATTTGCATCCAAGCATTTGTAGTTGTTCCAAGACTGAGTGAGGTGGACAAACTGACCGCTCCACATGGCTGGGAGGAAGAAAATGTTAACACCAGCAATAAAACATCTTCGAAGCATAAAACTCATGTTGTTTAACGTGTACCTGCTCTGGAAGGGCAGCAGATGGGTGAGTTAGTGTAGGCATTAAGGAAGGTGGACCCAAGCTCCCTCAGGTAGTTTATGTATGGAAGATGGACAACTTTCCTGCCAGGATCAAAGGATATTCGCCCATCCTCATGACACACACACGCACACACACATTAAACCAAAAAGACCAACACCCTGTGGGAAAGCTGCACAATAATATCATGACGTCATAAGCTGACGTTCAATAAAGCCAAATGAGATATCAAGCAGAAAGCTTTACTTTCTCATACTTACAAACGCATCACTCATCACCATGACGATGTTTGGTCTGGAAACGTTTTGGCCAAAACTTTCACCAAAGTTTTGGCACAAGAGAATGAGCACCAACATCAAAATGTCCATGCTTTCCATTCACTTCAAACCATTTTAATAATTTTCTGGTGTAAAAAACATTACTGATAGTAAATGCTGCTTGCAAACTGGTGAGATTCGTCGGTAAACACTGTCTCTAAATCAAAAGCTGATTTCTGCGGAAATCAGCTGCTTCCTGATGACGCTTTCAAAATAAGAGCATGGTCTTGTGAACTGTCCAGGAACACAAATAGAATATTATTTGTTAAAAGCCCGGGTATGAACATAAATAAACACTGATATTAAAATTTGTTTGAAAAAATAAATTAAACAGTAAAAAAAAAAAATAATAATAAAATGTGACTTTTTACCATGTAATGACTAAAGATATCCTCTAGAGGGCAGCATTTATCTTGGCATTTGTACAGTAGTTTCTTCGCCCAAGTATTTACAACTTTGTAAATTATACCATAGAATCATCACGGTAGAAGTATTTTTGAGGAACTGATGCAAAAAATATTCCTCAGAAAGTTGAAAAACTCAAAAATACGTATACATTTTTCAAATAATGACAGGAAAATATGTTAGAACTCTGTCTTCACAACAACATCAACTCCTAAACTTGTACAAGGTCAGAGATTATTTCCAGTTATATATTTAAACAATCACACAAAATAATGGTGGTCATTTTCATATGCAGGTTGAAACCAAGTCATCAACTTAACCATGAACAGGTCCATAGAAGGCTCAAAACTGGGAGAGAAAGAGCCAAACTACTACCAAGGTAAGGTTGTGGAAGACAGTTTCAGGTCAAAGGTCAAATCCTACAGCAAGACTAAACACGGCAACAAGACACAAGGTAGTTGTGCTTCTTCAGCAAGGTTTCTCCCGGGCAAAGATTTCAACAGAGACTCAGGTTTCAACGCGTACTGTTCATACTGTTTTAAAGAAGCACAAAAAAACCAGCCAATGCTGAAGCTCCTAAATGCACAAAGAAACTTATTAAGAAACATTAATCATATGTTGCTTCATAAACAGACAATACCCAGCAGTGCCATCAGGAAGCCTTGGTACACCCATCCACTGTCTGAAGAGATTTGGTCAGAACGTATATAAATATGTATGTTGAAGCTTCTTATGTAGAAATTTGGCAATAAATAACTTGAGTGCAAAATAAACACTGCAGGTCTTCTGGTCACAATTTGAAATATTTGGCTGAAGCAGAATGCATTTTGTTTGCTACGCAACAGTGAAGCACAGTGGAGGTCTCCTCTGTGCAGATGCATCATTCAGTACCATTAGGTAGGTGCTGACTGATTCCATATTTATTCTGCAACATGTCATCAAGAACCGTCCTCGGCATACAGAAAAACAAGGAATCCACGAAGAGAGAACCCAACAGGGTCCTGATCTCAACATCATGACCTGTGTCGGCTAACAGAGCAGTAACATTCACGTGAAGTCAGGGATTGTATCTCCAAGACTGGAAGCTGTTTAGTTCCTTCAGCTGTGAAGAAATAGAAGAATATAAGCTTTAATGAAACAAAGAGACACTGTCACTATACTGAACATCCCACAATAGCTTAAACTCATCTACAATAGCATCTTTAGTTGTTTGTATGTTATTATGTCATTTCAACAGGTGATGCTGCAGCCCACAGTGGAAACACTGGCATCCACACGGTGGCGTTTTGAGCTCCATCCAGAGTTGTTTTTCTCTTGAAACTGGGAGCTCAACACAATGAGAGCAGTTATTTGTCTATATGTTGTGCTTATGTTCATGGTAAATACACGGCAAAAACGGCAATAATGATACATGAAAGCATTTGCAGATCACCCGTCCTGATGCCCGTTGTATCACGTGCACACGTTTCCAGGAATTTTGCATTGGCTTTGCTGCAGGCCTCTTCATGCAAAAAAAAAAAAAAAATCAGCTCTGCTGTAACATTACTGCGATTCTACAAATGTAAATCCATAGTGGGGAAAGTGATAACACCAGGTTTGGAAGCTATAAAAAAAAGTAAGACCTGCAATCTGCACACACTAGAAATAATATATAATAAAGATGTTGTGGATTCGGCTCTTTATTGTTACACCGATGTGCTTAAATTGCATCAATTTGTCTGTAAGGCAACGTTTCATGCAGTGTTTTTTTAGGTGCTTTACCATACTTGTAATGTGTATGTGAGAACTGCCTTGTTCCAGAAAGGCGGAAGGTGGGGGCTAAGTCCTGCCGCGCATGCGCACAAGGTTGTTTTTCAGCCAGCCCGTGGTTTAAAGTGAGCTGAGCTCCGGGGGTTTCCTTGTCTGTGACTGAGACCATCCTGCAGAGAGGCAGATGATAACAGCATCAGCTGCTGGTTATCAGCCTGCTCACATTTTCAATGAACTGCTCACAAAGAAGCCCCTGATCGTGCCCGCTGCTGCTCGCAGGGCAGAGATACTGATCAGTGTCTTCTGTTTTCTTACATTATTTTAGTTGGGGTGTTTTAAGAGGTGAAGCTTATCCTCCATCACCATGGTGCTAGGAAAGGTGAAGAGCTTCACCGTGAGCTACGACTGTTTCAATGACAGCAACGTCCCCGTGTTCTCCAGCGGGGACTGCGTCTCAGGGAGGGTGGTCGTCGAAGTCACCGGGGAGATCCGCGTGAAATCTCTCAAAATCCACGCGAAGGGATTCGCAAAAGTTCGTTGGACCGAGTCGAGGAACGCTGGCTCCAACACTGCCTACACCCAGAACTACACGGAGGAAGTGGAGTACCTGAACCACAAAGATATTTTAATCGGACACGAACGAGGTAAGTTGTTGTTTTTTAAGATGGGATGCTCTCCTCCTCGCTGGTTTGGGGATCAGGTTCACTGATGCACTTAGCAGAGGGATGCACACGATTAGAAGTTGAAGGATTGTCGCTTTTTATGGCTTATGTTGCGGGACTTGTTGATTTCACTTCATGACAACGACTGGAGCTCCACTTTTTTGATTATTTGTGACTCGGGAGTGTCAGAATGAATGACAGCTGCTCGGGCACCTATCCTGTTTTTTTAAAATCGAGCTTTAACGCAGAAATAAGAATGAAATTAATTCTGACACACGCTTGAAAGAGAGTGCACACTTTCCTCGATTTAATTTTAAGCTTTGTTGGGAAATTTCATCGCTTGACAACGTCGAAGTTTTCCCCCTATTGTTCAAAGCGGTTCAATCCTGTTCTGAAAACTGGTCCTGGAAGGGGCGGGGCAAAGCGCTGGTTCTCGCTTGTGGTTGGTTGAAATGCTCGTGTGTGGCTCGTGACGTAATTACTCTGCAGGGTGATAGAAAATTCAGCAACTTTTTTTTAATTAAATTTAAAAAAAAAAACAGAATGTGGAGACAAACGTGTTTTGTTGGTGAATATAGGCGACTAGCTACGTAGATACCCGTTTTTTTATTGTTCACCGTAAAAATGTAATTGCTAGCAGCTTTTGTTAGTTGATAAAAGTAGCTTCTATAGTCACAATTGTGTTCGGTAAATTAAGACTTTTTGTTTAAAAGGCTTTCTTAAAGATCTAATGTGGACAAAACGTTTTATAACCACAGGAGAAGGCTGGCGGCTGTCCTGTTAAGCGTGTCCTGTGGCAGTGTGCGGCGTCGCACAGTGAATACGTAATGCTGAGGGAAGCTGCTCGCACCGGTTCAGGCCGGTCTCCTCCTGCTGGAGTCTGCTTTGACTGACAGCTCCGCACTTGTTTACCACACTGCTGCTGCTGTGGAGGCTGTGCTGAGCTGGCACAGGCTGTGCAATAAGCTCCAACAAATTATATATCTATCTATATATAGATAGATATATATGAATTTTTTGCTTTTTTAAGCAGCATCAGTTTTGGAGTAAAATAGAGAGGTATAAAAATGTTTGTGAATTCCCCTCCAGCTGGATGGTGGAGTACAGTGCTAGTCTATATATTAGGGATGCACAAAATTGGATTATTGGCCGGTATTTTAAAACTTATTTGCCCGATAACCAATACTGATATATTTTTCACTAGCCCTATTTACAGAGACATATCTTGCTGGAATTAAAATACTTTCTTCTGCATGGTCTTTGTTAATTTGGCCTGCTACAAAATGCAGATGCCAAAAAAAGGGGACTGAAAATGATGTAACACTTCAACTTGGATTATGTTTAATGTCAAATATATTCATGACATTTCCTCTCTCTAACACAATGACAACAATCGAACAGCGCAAATTTGTAAATTTTCACAAATCTAAACTCGATTAACGTGCTGAAACAGCGCCTTTTGTATCCATGAGTGATTTTGATGGAATAGCCGATGTCCGATACTTAACTTTATCGCTATGCCGATAATATTGTGCATCCCTATTATATATGCATCATTTGTGCGTAAATAAACCCCCCCAGGCGTATAGATCTTTGTCCTCGCCAAAGCACCAATCTCCTGCGGCTCCGTTTCCTCAAAACAACTATTTTTCACGCTTTCTCTTAAATATTGCTCTTCTGTTTGTCTCTCAAATACATTAATTCCTCACAGACCGACTTTATTGTAAACTCCGTTATTCTCTTCTTTGTCTCCCCCACCCTGTGTTTTTTGATATGACTTACAGATGCCTTCGTAGAGCATTTTATCCAGGTACGGTATACATGTGTTTGGAATATTGTCCTCCTTGTTTTTCAGACGATGACAATTCAGAGGAAGGACTCACCACGATTCCTGCAGGGAGACACGAGTATGCATTTAGCTTCGAGCTTCCACAGACGTGAGTCCCAATGCTAGATGTTTGCTCTAGGCTTTGTTTTAGCATTTATAATATTTTTTCCGCCTGCTCTCTGTTTTTTCCTGTCGCGCAGACCTCTGGCTACCTCTTTTGAAGGAAAGCACGGCAGCGTGCGCTACTGGGTAAAGGCAGAGCTCCACAGGCCATGGCTTCTGCCCATGAAAACCAAGAAGGAATTTACAGTCTTTGAGCACATTGACATCAACACTCCATTATTGTTGGTACGCCCGTCATGCCATGTGTTTTATAAGCTTTTCAGCTCCAATAAGAAAAAACTTGAGTAGCTCATATATACCGGTACTTGTTAGCTTTTCATTTAGTTGTAACAAACAAAAATGTGTGAATAATGTTCGTTTTCTCCCCCTTCCAGTCACCACAGGCTGGCACAACAGACAAGACGCTTTGCTGTTGGTTCTGCACCTCAGGTCCTATTTCCCTAAGTGCCAAAATCGAAAGGAAGGGATACACCCCAGGTGAGATTAAAACCCATTGTTACTCATCTGTTTACCAGATAAGTCAATAGAAATCTGTCACATCCTGCAGGATACTCCTTTTGTTACTGATTAAACATAAACATAGTCAATAATCTTATCACTGGAGCAGAACATTAACTTTCCTCTTTTTTTTTTTTTTTTTACGGTGTAGGAGAGTCCATCCAGATTTTTGCTGAGATTGAGAACTGCTCCTCCCGCATGGTGGTGCCAAAGGCGGCCATCTACCAGACACAGACCTTCTGTGCCAAAGGGAAGATCAAGGAGGTCAAGCAGCTGGTGGCCAACCTGCGGGGGGAGTCCCTGTCCTCCGGCAAGACGGAGACCTGGAACGGCAAAATGCTGAAGATCCCACCTGTGTCCCCCTCCATCCTGGACTGCAGCATCATCAGAGTAGAGTACTCTCTCATGGTGAGTAGAGCAGGATGTGCGATGCTGGCGGTTCTCGGAGGGGTAGTGTTACGTTTGTTGGGGGGGGAGGTGGCGGGGTGTTACAGTCCTAATTCTAAGCGAACTGCTTGCGAAAATCTCCGCTCCCCATCCGGACGTAGCGGAACTGTCGGCCATGGAGGGAGATTTGGGGGTGGGTGGGATTTTGGTTTTGGACACGCTCCTTGGATAATGGTAGAGGAAACGGTGAACATTTAGGTCAAACAGCCTCTCCTTTTTGTTTGTATTTGTTGAGAGATTATTGGTTGTCGCACGCAAACAGTTTCTGCTTTCACCACGCCGTTATCGCTGATTTCACTGTGCCGTTATCTGCACACAATCAATATTTCCTAGTAACACCCCCCCCCCCCCCCCCCCGTATCTGTCCTGGTAAGGGTGACTCCGCTCACATAGCCAAAACTGGACCTTGGATTGTACCAGGTGTTATCTCCGCTTGCTGCTAAGAGCATTAGCTCAGGGTTTTGGTAGCAACACCTGGCCTGAGGGAGCTTACAGCGTCTTTACCGTTTGAACAGACAGAAAGGCAGGACTCTACCTTAAGCAGCCGACTGTAATACACTGACCCACATGACAAAACGTTCCGCGTTGAGCTGCAAATGTAACGCATACCTCTAAAACTTGTTGTTTTTAACTACACGTTGACAGAGTCGTTACCATAAAAGATTTGCAAGCTCTAAGCGGTTGTTGTGTCTTCATGTCTGTGCTCAGGTATACGTAGACATACCAGGGGCGATAAACTTGTCCCTGAACTTGCCCCTTGTCATCGGAACCATCCCCCTCCACCCATTCGGTTCCCGCACCTCAAGCGTCAGCAGCCAGTGCAGCATGAGCTGGCTGGGCATGGGTCTGCCAGAAAGACCTGAAGGTAATTCTGACCGAAGAACGTGTTTTATTTTAATCTGTGGTTTGATTTTACAAGAGTGCTAAAATGTTCTCCCCGTCACTCGCAGCTCCTCCAAGCTATGCAGAAATCGTGACTGAAGAGCAGAGACAGAACCGCCTGGACGTCCCTGCAGTCAGAGAGGAGCTGGAGGGTCCACTCTTCGCCTACATTCACGAGTTCCGCTTCCAGCCCCCTCCTCTGTATTCTGAGGTAAGCACTTTCATAGAGCGCACACCTAGGCCTGTCGCGATACACAATTAATCGCATGATAAATGAAAATTATCATCCTCATTTTCTTTTATCAGCTTTATCGTTTCTTCGTGTCGCTCTCTTTCTGAAGACACTGAATGACAAAAGGCTCAACTCCGGTGCTCTTCACTGAACCCTCCCTTTCTCTTTTCTCTTTAACCGTCCAAAATTGCGTTTTGGGGTCGTTAAAAGCAGCTAAGCTACGAGCTAAGCTATCAGTCCAACCTCGGAAGCTCCAAAATTCACGGCTGAAACCCGTGCCTTCATCTAAAAAGTTGTTTTTCTCTGCAAAAAGAAGCTGAGAACTTGTTTACTGATTTTTTTTTTTTTTTTTTTTTTTTTTTTTTTTTTAATTAAAAGCTTCGTGACAAATTCTATGCTAGAGAGCTGAAACCACACCGAGCGGCCGCCATTTTGAAAACCACAAAAAAAAGGGGGAGAGACAGGCCATGTCACGTCAAGGGGCCTCCCTCCCATTTTTCTTAAAAAAAGAGACACACTGCTGCTCCCTCACTATCCATCTTTTTTGTTGAAACAGTCCTATACTGCCATATGGTGGTCGAAAAAAGGTACTACACTCAAAACAAATTAACATTTCTTCTTAAATTTGACAATAATTATTAATTATAGTCAAATTTCAAGCAATGTTATCGTTTATCGCAATAATTTCTGAGACAATTAATCACCAAACAACTTGTTATCGTGACAGGCCTACGCACACTTATTTCCCTTCTAGAAAAAAGAAACGAATAACCACAATTTTGCTTCCTTCTTTTTCCACTCTAGATCGATCCTAACCCCAATCACGCCAGCCGTACAGAGGCTCACAGGCTCGACTCTTGTCCATCACGCTGAGGTTACCCCTAAAGCAGCCCCGACTGATGTGGGGCGCCTCAAGGAACCTGCTTGCAAGTCTACGCTTTAAACATTTTGTCAGTTCAAAGCATTGACTCGGTGCTGTTGACATCATGAGAAAAGCCCAACATCCAGCCAACAAAGACACATCTACTCTTTCCTTCCTCCAGTAAGAGAAACGGGAGTCTGTAGTTCGCTATCTTCCTGTGTCGGCCTTCTGAGGAGTAAGTCTGTATGGGGGAAGCAGGAGGGCACTCCCCACCCCCACTCTAGCAGCAGCAGCAGCCTCGGTGACGGTGTGACTGGTGGAGAAAGGTTCGCCGGGGCTCAGCCTGTCAAACTCCTCATGATTCTTCTGAACTTGTGGCACATTGGGGACATATCTCCTGGCCAAAACATAAAGGCAGGACTAGTCATGTCCAATATTCAGCAGAATCACTTCAAATGGAACGAAGAGAGAAAAGTAACAATGTTGTAACCATTGTAGTCTGTGTGGACGGAAGCTTTTAGCAGCAGTTAACAGAGCAAAGACTAGGTCCTTCTGCCTCACGTGGGATTTTGTTTTGCACATTTGTCTTCTTTACTTGAGTTGCGTGGCTCTGTTTAACAGTTTGTTCTAAGTCACACACTTTTTTTTTTTGCAAAGCACCAGACTGCAAATATAGACCACAGGCTTTACTTTCAACACTTCTCATTTGTATAATCTTGGAGCAAAGATGAGAAAAGGATTTGATAAAAAAAAGACTGAAAAGAAAGACATGCACTGAATTTGTTTGAATCTGTTTTTTTTTTTGTTTTGTTTGTTGTTTGTTTTGTTCCTATGTTGTCAGTACACACTTTCAAAAATGCTGACCTGGAGTTTTACTACAAGTGCTGCACACACCCCATCTCCATGTGGAAGCTCTTTAGGCGTTGTTGCCTCCTAAGCTTGGATCAAAGTGTCGCCTCCCTCTTGTGTTGTGTAGTTCGCTTATTTTGTTCCAGTTGTACAACAGCTTTTAGTTGATGTTTTGAGCTTGTGTAACTGCCCCAAAAGCACTGTCTCAGGTGGTTTTCTCACTTGCCAAGCGGTTGAAAATGTGGATTTTTTTATTTTTTTTTATTGCACTGTTCAAAGTAAAAAAAAATTAAGTACCACAATGAGAAAACAAAATTGCAGGTAAGCAGGGCAGCTTTTTGAGATGAATCACATTCCCTTTTTGTCCTACTGCACTTGCCTTCTGCATCCAACCTTTAAGCAGATTTACCAGACCAGTGAAACCACATTGCTAGTTATAATAAAAAGATTAGAAAAGCAAACTCAGCACAAATAAACCGCTGGGGACTTTGTCAAACCTCTTGTTTAGGCTGGTCAAACTAGTAGTAATAGTAGTAGGTTGAAATGAGTAATACATTGGTTTTCTAACTCATTTAGTACAAAAGATCACCTCTAACAGAATTTTGACAAGGTCAAGGGTTAAATTTAAATGCAGCTTTTAAAAAGAAAGAAAAAAATGGTTGTGGTGAAGGTCTGAGGCAAAATATGTAGGTACTAACCATGTCAGTTTTTTTTTTTTTAGTAAAGCAGATTGTGTAGGACGTTAACGCATTAAGTCATTTTTGTTATTACTAGTAATGTTAAGTTTACATTTATGGCTACCACAAGTTGTGTGCACGCTCTTATCAGGATCCAGCTTCTAACAGTAAATCCACAAACAGCAGTGAAGTTAAAGTGATCTTATCGTCGTGGCCTTGATGCAGAAAAGACCTGATCATAACTATTTTTCAGCGTCCGTGTTTAACTCGTTCTCGTTCGTGTTTGAAACTTGTATTTTTTAATTTTTTTTTTACCTGTTTTATTCAAAAGGACAAAAAGGGAAGAGGAATAAAGCGTCTAAGTGAAGTGTAAAGCAAAAAAAAAAAAACAACATCTTGAACAGGCCTCTTTTTGTGTGTTTTCTGAAGCTGACGAGTGTCGGCTTTTATCTTTTTGTTTCCAATTTTATTTCTGGGCATTCATACCGTTTTGTTTTCTAGCAACCTTTTTTTTTTCCCCCTGACTTCCCTGATCCCCGTCCTTCAGGCATGGGGTGGCAGCTGTTGATCAGCAGCCTCCCCCTGAGAAACATTTAGCTATCGTGGGGTCGTAGACTAAACAATTCCTTAGTGGTAAACTTTGTGTAACAGCAGTGAGACATTTTTTGTTTGGATTTTATCTTAGGGAAATTCAATGGAGCTACGTGGTGAAGAATAAGCTTACATATTTGTTTCAGGTTGGTCAGTTTGATAGTCCATTTGCTCGGGGCTCAGAGTGGTCCAGCATCAATACTAAGCTAAACTCCTGACCTGCTAATAAAAAGGCGGGAGCTGAAATGTTCAGAGAAAACAAATCTGGGTGATGGGATCTGGAACATTTTAGAGACAAAGTGCAATATAACACACTGAATTTTCTTCATTCTCCATGTGTACGTTGTTTTATTGTTCTGTTAATCATGATGATGTATGGATATTCTATGAATACATTATGTTCTGAATGATTTAACCTTTGTCTAGTTCTTCCTTTTGATTTGAATAAATATTTGTTCTAAATTAAAATGGATTGCAATGCATTGTTTTTTGTACACTACTAAACACTACTGTGTTCAATCCTTCATGCAAGTTATTGAGCCATTTAAACTTGTGTAAATATGCAGTTTACCAGTGCCATATTAGCTGGTTAATGTTTAACAGGATCAAAACAAAACCTTTTTTTTTTTTTTACAGCCAAGCTTTAAAAAGCAAAGTTAAAATAAAATATAATAAATCATTATCCATTGCTTCACTTCTGTGAAAACATGTGAAGTGGGTTGGGAGATCTTTAGTCCACAGGTTATAAGTCCACAGAACAATGTGGTTCAACACTGCCTCTAGTGGTGGATTATAAAACTACACCTGGCCTGCTGACAGGAAGGTGAAGGGCTCAAACCGAAAATAATAAATAAATAAAAAATACACATCGCACATAAATCAATCTATTGTATTATAAATCACTACCAATAAATAAATTCAAATTAGTCTTTCTTGTATGATTAAATTATTTAGTAAACTCAAGTTTTTTTTGAAAGACTAATGAATGAGTAGAAATTAATCAAAACTTAATACAAAAATTTGCCATGTCACAATACTAAGGTGTCCCCAACATATGTAGTTTAACTTTGAATTAAAGAATCATAAAGTTAATTTATTAAATAAAAATTTCCAATTTAAAATTTTCGTTTTGCCTTACCTTTTTATTTAGTCAAATTGCGGTTCCACTGTAGATTTGGCAGATGTCACCCCGCACTTCACACCATATGTTAGGGTCACATTCTCTCACAACTCTCACGTTGTCCTCAGAACAACTCATACAACTGAATAATAATAAAAATGAAGAACAGCATTTTCAAATTTCTGATCTTAAGGCCTTAAGAGTGTTCAGCGTAAACATTAGTTGGTGTTATACTAATTATTTAAATGTTTTGGTACTCTAGTTTTTATAGGTTACATTAATATGGTTGAATATACACTCATCAATCATTAAAAAAAATTGTACTGTTTTGTTTTCTTCATGCTGAACCCATTGAAAAGAAGCATAACTTGATTAATAGTTTTTGAACTAATTAAAATACAAAGTATAATATATTTAGATGTCTGCAGACCAAATGAGTCAGAGCTGCAAAACGAATGAATAATTAGCTTTTGGTGAATGACACATGCCAACAAAAGGCTGCCCTGGTTTTAAACAACACCAGGTTTGAATGTGCAACCTTTTTTTAATTCCTTGAAATCTTTATGGACACAAATTCACAGGCTTCAGGTCATTAGTTTATAATATTAGTTAAATGCATTCCACCAACCTGATTTATATTTAATTTTGTGCTAATTTTTAGCACATTTTCGTAACTGTTGAACAAACTGCCAAACGTGAGAGCCTTTCAAACCCTAAGCGTCCAGCTGAAGTAAATGTTTCACTTGTATAACGCCAACTTAAAATAGAGCTGCACTGTTTTTGGTTACACGTGACCTACATAATTATGAAGCGCAGCGATCAGGAAACAGTAATCAATTTCACTGGTAATGCATTGCAACTGCACGCATGTTACGTCAGGCTGGTTTGATATTGATTGATGTTTCTGGAAACGGCAGATATTTGTTCACAAGTGAGCTCAGCTGTTCAACCATACTGGACGTGAATGACTGTTATGTATTTCAAAGTTCATGCTCAATAATCCAAAAAATAAAAAATCCAACAGAGTTAAATCAGGTCATCTGGACGGTTTCTTTTGTTGTTGTTGAAATGTTTCGTCCTTCATCCAAATGACTTCGTCAGTCCGAGGAGCCACAACAAAACTTTGATGTTTTGAACCACTTTGGCTATGGCTGCCTCAGAGGAGTTGATGGGGGAGAGGGGGGGCTCCAGAAACCAACTTATCACCAGCAAACTGGTTGGTCCAGTGACTGTTCTGCTTGTGGGACTGAGTTTGTTGTGGCTCCTTGGACTGAGGAAGTCCTTTGGATGAAGGAGGAAAAGTAAAAAAAAAAAAACATCCAGATGACCTGAGTTAACTTTATTGGACTGTTATGTATTATTCATTATTATTGTTTTTAACAAAAATAGCTGGAATAAAATCCCAGGAGCTATCACTGAACAGAGCAGTTTTTAATATCTAAATGTATTTTGAGTCATGGGGTATTTAGGTAGAAACTATTTAAGTTCACGTTTTCAACTCAAAGTGACAGCTCTGTGAAAACCTCAGTGCTGACTCAGCTGTCCCCCCAGCTTTGACCAAGCACTTCAGTTTGCCTTTTGTCTCCTCCAACCCCAACCCCTTGGCCTCTTTGACTTTTTGTGTGTCTCTGATCCCTGTATGTTGAAAAAGAAAGGATTATTGAAGGGGGAGAAAATAGATTGTGGTGGTAGTCATGACAGTGTGCTCAGTGAGAGGGCTGATTAGTAAATGCTGACGCTACATGGGCCTCAGCTGTTTCCTCTCACCAGCTAATCCCACTCGCCTGAAGCCCCCTGTGATCCAGAGGTTCTCGGCAGCTCGGTGTGACCAGGCAGTATTGATGTGGATGAGGAGGCCTGGACTGAGCCCCACTGAATATCTGCCTGCCAGTGCCACATCATCACTGTGACATAACAGGAACACACACACACACACATGTCTGAAGTGAAACGTGAAACGTTGCTGTGTTATAAACGCACTCATTCCTGGAACGTATTAAAAGTAGATTCAGATGTGGAACTATGGCAGAACAAATGGTTTAATTTCAAGGCCTCCTCGTCTATTCGCTGCTTTAAACATGCTACATAGAAGAGCTGCTTCAAACCACTTAAACAGAGAATAATGAGAAACAGTAAATGTAACATGAAAAAGCTAGCATTACTTTGAAGAACACAAACACTGCCTTTTATGATTTAAGCTAAAATTGTCTTGTGATGCGACGGGACAGTTATAGCGTTCTGGTCAAACCTTGTAAACGATGTTCTGCACAGACTCGTGATAATATGATATGTCATGAGATATGACAGTGGTGTGTTGAGGATGACTCTCAGCTACTACCGTATCAGATTTCAGCTTGATTTCTGTAAAACTGGCTGAATTATAGCCATTTCTGTGTTGGTTAAAGCAGTGGTTCTCAAACTGGGGTCCCTGGACCCCTGGGGATCTGCTAGCAGGTGCTTGGGGGTCTGCAAAAAAAACAAACCAAAAAAAGTTTTTTGTTTTTTTTCAATCATAGATGTTTAACAATCAATTAAAATACATTAATTGGCAGGAAATAGCATCTACTTTATTCAAAATTTTCTGGGGGAGGACCCCCCCGCCTGCTCTTTACTTTCCAGCATCGATCTGTTTACAAATGAAGTCCTGTTACTTGTTATGACTACTGCTGTTATGATTCTGTTCAGTTTTATTTAAAGTTTTCTGTAAAATTTGAAAAAAGAAGAAGAAGTTTATATGAAGAGGTAAAGTGTCAAAGTGGTTTTTGATGCTGTTAATTTTCTCAAAACTGTAATTTTTGGAAGTTGAAATTAAACCATTTGTTAATTAAGTGTGTCTTGAATGAAAAATACCCTTGTATTAACACTATTAAAGAACAGGTCTTAAGTATTACAAATATTTCCATTGCATTAAAGAGACAAATTGAAGAAAATTATTTAATAAACAGGAGGGTTATGAGGGGGTCCCTGAACCCAAAATGTTGGAGAACCCCTGCGCTAAAGTCAAAATGCTGCGGCAGCTGATTTGAGGGTTAACTCAGATGTTTTAGATGTTGATAAAAACGACGGCAGCCCAACAGGTTAGTGTCATAACGTCATAATGTTGATGTGCTGCTTTGACAGACATTCAAATTCCAAAAGCTTGGAATAAGCTCTTACAGACCATTATAACCATTGAGTGGTGAAGAAAAAAAACATTTGTCGTTTTGTTATAACAGGACTTGACAGTGAATTAAATACAGTATAGCAAACAAAAACAATTAACATTGTGCTCATAAAAACTGTTAAAACGATGACAGGATCATGGGTGATCATAAATAATTTATGTATCTATTAATGTATTTTTATCTGAATGACCAACCGTTAAAACATCTGGTTCTAGACCGCCTGACCTCTGCAGCTGATAATTAACGCATCCAAACTAATATTTAGGAATTATTAACAAACAAATGTATCAATTTACTGTATTTCATGTTAACTATTAACAAACAGCACCACACTGCAATCTGCTCAGGATGCTTTCTGTTCAATCAACAAAGCATAAATATGTATACAGGAAACCTGAAATAGAAGCATTTCTATCATATTCTACAACCTATCCCAAGTTCATCATTCTGCTTAGA